TTGCCCGTAACCCTTGCCAACTGTCTGGCTGTTACCCAATTTATTTCCAACAATGTTCTCAAACAAGCTTTTGTCTCTTTTAGCTTTTGTTGTGGCACGATCACCTGTGCCTTTTCCGTATTTACAATCAGACCATAAAACTTTATTTTTCTTGACGGCATCAGACTGCTCTTGTCCCAAGCCAGGACAAACCCACAATTTTCCAGGTCCGGCAAAATGACTTCGTTCCTGATTTTCTACAATATTACTGCAGAAGGGTGGGCTACCCATATATCGTCGACATGGGAGCCCAAAGCAATACCCTTTGATCTCCAATGGGCAACTAATGCCCGAATTATCTTTGAAAAAATCCAAACCGCTTGAGAAAGGCCAAACGGCAACACTCGGTACTGGTACCAGAAATTCCCTACCCAAAACCCCAGAAAACGTCGAGCTTCCTCCTCTATTAGAACATGGTGATACCCATTTCTTAGGTCTAATGTAATCATAGACCATCCTTTTCCAATTGACCTCAATAGGCCTCCCAGCCCTTCAAATTGAAATGATTTTTCCGGGAGCCTTTCATTTAACCTCCTTAAGTCTATTACCAGACGGTAGCGTTTTGGCCTGGCTTAGGCACCAGGAAAATCAAAGAAATCTCCAACAGGGAAACTGGGCGAAGCAATCCTGATCCTATTTTTTTTTATAGCACCTAGCCTTTCTAACCGATTTAACTCCTCCTCCAACCATACCTTTTGTTCTGCCATTAGTTTGTAGGATTTTGGATCCCCTTTTTCGACGAGGCTCCATACATTCCTTGGAAAAGGGGCATTAAGTTCCTTAACCAGCAAGCTACTACTGGCGGGGGTCCTATCTTTTCCATCCAATATCTCACGGCTGCTGGCTCGTGTATTTTTTCTACAACCTCCCTGCTCTGATCTGTATCACCAGCTATTATTGTTATTTTGTTCTTCCTTTTCACCTGAGTGTAGTCACCTTCCATTGCTGCTTTTGTTCTGAAAAAATCTATTTCTTAGTGAGTTACCCTCTGCCGATTTTGATGGATATACTGCTGCTGTATGACCAGTGCCACCACAAAAATAGCAGTTAAACTGCTTTGTTGCTGATCTGTTATACGAGTTTTGGTAAGCTGGACCTGGATTCGGGATCACATTCTTACTCTGGTACCCTTAAAACATAGGCGGTGGGTGCTGGACATAAGGCTGTGGTTGTGAGTATGGTAACGGGTAGGGTGTATAATAATTTTGTCTTGGCCCGGGAGACCACGAACTGCCTCTACTTCTCCAGGTTCCTCTACTATAGGATGCGGGAAATCCTTCAGAAGGTTTAGCTTGTTTCCTTGCTTCAGTTAGTAATTCCCTAAATTCATCAGTTTCACTAGGGGTTGGTTTTGGTATCTTTGCCGCCACTTTCCAACCTTCTTCTTCCGCGACTCTTAGAACAAATGCCCTCAGTTTTAACAGCTCCTGTACCTCTGTCACCTTCTCCTTCGAATCCTCCTGAATAGCTTTTTGAAGCATAGTTCC